CACCTGGTGCCCGCCAGCCTAGAGCCCCAGCCTCCCACTGAGGCCTGCTCCCCTGGAGCCAGATCAGCCCCCAACCTGCCTGCACTCCCCAGGCTGAGACATGTCACTCTGTTATTCCTTTTTGTTTCTACCTCATCTTCTATTCATGATACCAGTAGAATTCTTTCCTCTGCTTGGAATGAGACCCCAAGCAATGTAGTCAAGGTTCACTTTAGCCTGGCCACTGGGTTTACTAAAACGTTATTTATCACTACCCTCTCTCCATGATCCCTCTCCTGGCCTTTTTGAATTTGCCATCTCTAGACAAGGCAATGCAGGTCACTGTACCTGGGCAGAGTGGGTGGACAATGAAAGAAAGCAAGGTTTGTTTAGAGAGGCATTGGTGCCTCTGGGAAGTGCTGTAGGCAGAGCCCCTCATTGGGGCTATAGCCCATATGTGCTCAGGGACATGTGGCTTTTGCATAGCATGTGTCTCCTTGTCTTACTGTGGTGGTCACAGCTGGTCTGGGCTGAGGCTGGGCAGCCTCCTTCACCCAAAGGACCAAAGCCTGGGAGGCTGGAGGCCAGGACCAGGATACTACAGGATCAGAAAAAAGAGGAGAGGAGACCTGACTCCTGGAAGGAGGTGAGACAACAGTGATTCCTGGATGCCCTGACCACTACAGGGCTGGACAGAGGGACACTGTCCTGCATAATGAGCAAGACCCACTATCCTGGCCCCATGACAGCATATGCTCTGTGAACTCCTGGAGTTCAGTAGTGCCATGGACCTTTTGTTTTACTGTGGTAAAAGTCCAGGCAGTTCAGGTTTAGCTACTGTGACGTGTCTAAGCACACAGCTTGGTGGCATTAGCAAGTCAGTGCCATCCTCTTCCGGAGTGCTCCCATCTTTCCCCAGCCAATGCTCATTGGCAGCACAAGCCACTTGTTCTCTTTCCCTTGGGTAGATAGAGGGTAGAGACAGCTCAGTGTGCTGGCAAGGTAGGCAGCCAAGGAATAGAAATGTCTGATCTCTTTAAGGTCACACACACACACACACACACACACACACACACACACACAATCCCTGGCAGCAGGGTGCTGAACCCAGGCCCCTGAGGGGTAGGGCAGAGGTCTGGGTCCAACAGAAGTGGACCCCTAGGGTGGGGCAGCAGTGTAGACCTGTCAGCCTAACTGGCCCCTGCCCTGTGACCACCTGTGACCAGGGGTCCTGCACAGTCTGACAGCAGCAAGGAGTTGCACCTTCCAGACTCTGGTTGTCATTAGCTGCTCCAGCAGGAGGTGGGACAGGCAGAAGGCTTGGCCTTGCAGCCAGTGAGGATCGAGGCTCACGTGGGACCACCTGGACCTCATTATTCTTAAGTGGTCCAGTCTGAGAGTTCGGGGAGAGAGGAGAAATAATGGCAGCCTCCAGGCCAGGGGAGCCCCACCCCCTCTCCAAGCTGGTACTGTGGAGGCTTTGGTCAGAGGACCGGGAAGTGCACCCGGAGGGCTGTCGCGGCAGGCTCAGCCCCCACAGAACGAGCCAAGGGACTATGTGTGCTAGGTAAGCCAAATGAAATTTGGTGCTTGGAAGGGGTGGGAGGTCTGACCCTGTTCCTTCCCTGTCACCTGGGGTCTCTCTGTTCTTCCTGAAGGTAATCTGGAATGTTCACGGTTAAGGCCACCATCAGCGCCAGTTTGTGACTGGTGGGAGGAGGTAGAACGTCTTTCCCCAGCCCAACTGGGAAGGACCCTGACTCTACTCCATCCACCTGCCTGGCACAGTCCCAGGAGGCCTCCAGCCCAGGACAGAGCTAGGACAGTGCTGAGGGGTCTCCAGCCCTGCCAATGGGCAGGCCATGGAACTGGGACTCTTCAAGGCATCCTAGCACTCTTCTCAGTGTCCAAGAGAGCAATAGGCCTGTGTATGAAGCTTGCATTCTGCTCTCAGGTCAGTCCCTGTGTGGTCCCAGTGCATAGCTCCCACTTCCCACTGAGCAGAGGTTGGGAGCGACTCTCAGGTCCCAGGGTTGGGAGCAGATGGCCAGGCAGGGCCTTGAGATCCTGACCCAAGCCTGAGGTTCTCTTGAGACCAGCTTTGATGCCTGAGCTGACGGTCCCTGCACCCCTCAGCGTACCCAGGAACCCAGAGGAGGTTCTCTGTTCATTCCTGTGCAGCCACAGGAATGAGCAAGATGGCTGCGAGGGGAGAAGCAGAGGCGTGGGGCGGGAGGGGCCCAGTATGTGAGAGAGGCTGACCAGAGCTAAGGGACACATCCGGACCTCGGCGTCATCAGCGCCGTTTTGACCCACTGAGGGAATATGCATTAAATGAAGCGCAAATTAGCACGGTCAAGGGAGCAGTTGATTGTGCCTTTCTTCTTAATCCCTTTGGCTTAGGGTTTCCCCGGCCTGGACAGCCTGTCTGAGGGGAAAGCTGCCCAAGGGCACACGGGCATCCGTCCGGGGACATTCAGGCAGTGACCAATCCCTGGCCGTCCTGCTCTGTGCCTTGCATCGTGGCCTTTTCCCAGCCGGCCAGTGGAGGAGCAGCCACTGCAGGTCCCTGGGTCTTGGTGAGACGGTCAAGTATGGGCCCATGATGGAGACCGGCATGCAGCCATGTCCATGGCTGAAGAAGCCTACAGGCCAGCTGGGAGGACATCTTTCAAACGCAGCCTCTCCCCTGATCCCTCACCACCAACCCGGAGACCACCGTGGGCTGGAGCCCAGCACGGCCACCATTGCATCTTAGCCGTGGAGTTCAGCACAGGTCAGTTCCAAGACACACAGGCTGGAGCTCTGGGGCTTGAAGACAGCAAGTCCTTGAAGAGCCACCAGGTTGAGCCCAGCACTGGAAGACCAGGTGAGGGCCCATTTGGGAGTCTGAGGACTCCATAGGGGGCTGCCTATGGCTGAGCACCCGGTGGGGGTGAGGCCTGTCCTGTGACAACCACACAGGACATGGCTCCAGGTCCAGCTCTATGGTCTGCAGGTATTGGCAGCCCCACCTGGAAATGGCTGCCTTCCCTGCCAGACCCCAGCCAGATGTGGCAGTGGAAGTCCTTCTGTGGTCTATGGAGCGGCACACCCTACCCATCAGGAAGGGTCCCTAGACCCACCGAACTCCAGCCTGCTTCCTCCCCTCCTGGCTTGCAGGGGATGGGGAGCAAGCAGTCCTCCCTCGGGCTGATCACAGAGGGTGTATCTCTGAACAGATATACTCACCTGGTTCAGGGGACAAGAAAGCTACCACCATGGCTCTGCTTGGAAGGCTAATTGGCCTTTGGGATAAAGAGACCAACCACATCAGGAAAGAGCCCTGTACCTCTCATCCTAATCCTCCGCCCCAAACAATTAGTCCAGGGAACTGAAGGCTCCATGGAAACTCAGCCAGGAATCTGATCCTTGTTCTCAGCCTAGATCAACCTCAACATTTTGCATTTTTCTGGGGCTTTCTCCAGACACTATCCACCCACACCCAGTGGAGATGAGTGCTGTGGCCAGTACCCCATTCATGAGGGAAATGGACCTAGAGAGAGAAATGTGAGCCCAGTCAGTGGAATGGAGAACAGGTCGGATGGGTCTTACTTCCTCACCCTGAAGGTCTGGGAGCCACAGAGTTCCATGGTAAGTCCCAAAACGTGGCAATGGTGAGGGACCTAGCTGGGTTCCCCAACCCTTTCCACATTTCTTAACCAGCCCTATGACCCCAGACCCCTTCATGACCAGGGCTTGCATCAGATCCCCAATTTCTGGCCCTGGACTTTGACCGCCCCAGAGCCCGGCTATGGCTGGCGTTGGAGGGTGCTGCTTGGTCTACTTCCCACAACCCCTTCTCCCTCCTCATTCCCCCAAGTCATCTAGACATGCTACCAGCGTCCAGAGTGAGACTCCTAGTGTAGGAGCTCCTATCTACACTCCCCATATACCAGCATACCACAACCCTCCTATCACCTCCAAGACACAGAACCATGTCTTTTCTCTCAGAAACTGCTTGTTTGTGTCTGATGCTACAGGGAATCTTTGTCTGTCCATGGAACACACAGCCTTATTGGGTGACACCCGCCTGGCTAGCTCTGGTTGGGAAGGACGCTCTTGTTTGGCTGCAGGGTAGCTGAGTCTCCCTTTCTAGCCTCTCAACTTTTGGACTCTCTTCTCTGTGTCCTGCTGATTCACTCTCTTCTTTATTCTCCCGGAAAGAAGGTCATCTCCCCAAAAGCTGTCCCTTTCCTCCACCTGGATGCCTTCCTGGCCTGGAATTTGAGGGTCTTGGGCTGTGGTGACTCCAGAGGTGGTCCTGTTTCCTCTGAGCCTCCCTCTTCCTCTCAGAATTTGGCCCTGCCTTTGCTTTCTCTCCGTCCCCTTCTTTTTCTCTAAATTTCCACTTTGTCCCCACCAAGCCCTCCATCTTCCCCAAGAGTTCTAACCTACTGGGCCCATCTACTGAACAGCCTGCTCTCTACTATTGTCAGATCTTTCTTACCCTCCTTACATAACACTAAGAGGGTCAGAAGGGGAGATTAAGCCCAGGGGAATTGGGGACTTTCTTGAGGGGTAGGCATAGAGGACAGGGGAGCGGGGTATCTTGCTATGGGGAAGGCTGAAGTAAGAGCCATATCTACGAGTAGCCCATCTGCTAGAGCCTGAGAAACAGCTTGCTCTGGAGCTAGGCAGGGCCAGCACATGGCTTCCTTCAGTGCCCAACTCCAACCAGCACTGCACCTCTCCACAGTGTGACTGATGGGTCTCCATTGTGCCCTAAAGACGGACTTTGGGCTTATAGCCAACCTGTGGAAATTTTTTGGTGCCATGGTGTAGGAGAATATGGAACCCAAAACCAACACAACAACCATACCAGGACCACCAACATCTTACTCGAACAAGAGACTCCCATACCAAAGGATCCTGCTGGACAGTCCTCCGGATCCCTCCCCTGGGGCCACCATGGGGCTTCAGGCAGCCAGTGTACCTTGCTCCCCTGGCTGTCTGCCCTGACTAGAAGAAGCCATGGGAGCTGCTCCAGGAAAAGACGGCGTTCCAGCCATCTTACTCCCCACTAGGCCTTCTGGAGTGTGGGGGCAGAGGTAAGATCTGTGTGGGGAAGACAAGGGCAAGAGGCAGGAGGTCTAGCAAGGAGGGTGAGGAAAGGTAAGGGGGACAGACATGGCTGTGCTGGGCACCCCACTGAGTGGCCTTTAACAGCTGTGGGAGGTGGGTTGCAGAAAGTATTGACCTGCTAAGCCCAGGGCAAAGCCAAGCTCAGAAGGGCAGGACAGAGCATGGCACACTGTGCATTGCTCAGCCTTGAACTCTGCCAACCCATCTACCATTTCCAGGGCACCTGGGGACGGGCCAGGCCTGGACACTTGGCCAGGCTGCTGGCCCTCACCCAGGGAGGAGGTTAAACATCCTCGGATGCCCTGCCTGGTTACTTGGTTACCTTCCCACCTCTGCCTTCCAGTCCCTGGATGGCACATATCTTCCTTGCGAGCAGGAGGGGAAGTTCACCCAGCCTAGCCCCTTTCTGGGCCCAGAGAACACCCCCAGTTCTTCCTGATGGAGGAAGGCTTGATTTTGGAGGCAACTAGCTCCTGCTGGCCTCATTCCTCCCAGGAAGACGAGGTCACACAAGACGGTGCCTTTGCCCATCAACCCTGGCAGGGACGGAGGCCCTGAGGAGGCAAAAAGCTGCCAGAATCAGGAGGGGATGCGTGGCAGGTGAGTCATGGTTGTGCCCTTGGCTGTCCTCCCTGGCTTGGCCTGTCTTCCACGGGGGGGTCACAGGAGAATTTATGCTGGGCAATGACCAGGATCCACAAGGTGAGGGACAGCTGAACTGGACATGGAGGTTTCCTGGGAACCCTAAGAGAGAAAAGTGGGTTTGGGAAGGGAAGTAGGGCCAGAGGCAGCTGGGCTGTGGCATGGTCCTACTAGTTTGGGGCTGGGCAGAGTTGGGTCTGGACCTTACTCCTGTAGTCTGTCTGCACCTCATGCGTGTGTACCATCGGAAACCTGGGAGGTCCCATGCTGGGGGCTTAGATCTAAAGCAAATAATCTCCAAGGAGAGTGTGACATGGGGAAGAGGAAGGAAGCCTCCCTGCAGGGCTGGACACCAAAGGAAACAAGGAGCTTAGCAAGGGCTAGGCATCTGAAGTGACACTGATGGCAATGCGGGGCCCGAGGAGCTACAAAGAGGGGCACAGTAGGGCTTCCTGGCTGGAAGGTGTAGAGGAGCTGGGTGGGAGGGGGCATTGGCCTTGGGGACCAGGGCTGAGGCAGTGCCACTGAAACTGAGCTCACCTGCAGCAGTGGGGAGTGAGGGGGCAGGGGGCCTTTGGAAGCTGACTGGACCCTTACGGGCTGGACCTGGGTTGCCTGGGACAGGGACTGGTGCACTTGTGGGTGCCTTGCTCAGGGACAGGAGGAACAATGGAGGCCATTTTGCCCCAGGACTCTCAAAACCTAACCAAGCTGAACTGAGCCCTGCCCCCACATTCCGGCCCCTACCCGCTCCCAGCCTGGGCTTCTGGATCCCATCAGATGCCACCACAATCTGGCTGTGACATAATGAGGCAGGCCAGGGTCAGCAAGGTGACCTCTCATGGCCCCAATGTTTGGAAATCCCCAAGTCACAATGACCCAACAGACAAGCTAGAGACGAGATTTTCCAAGTGGCCCCTTCATTACCCAAGATACAAATAGCAGACCCCCTCCATTACAGCTTCCCTTGGAAGGACACAGGACCCAGACATCAGGACCACCTCAGGCTTAGAGACGTTCCCAGGCCAAAGGGCTCACCTCTCCTGGGTTGGGAGGTGGTAAGACCAGCTGGCCACACCCAGCCCCAGAAAGTATAAGCTGTTTTGCCGGAAGCAAAGAATCTAAAAGCAAAGAACCAGAGAAGAAGCCTGTGAATGAGACCTGTTACAGCCCAGGACCAACCCTGGGTCACAACACCCACCAAAACACGGGCTGGGGTGGAGGGTAGAACTTAGGGTAGCAGTCGAAGGAGGCTCTTGTAGCTGGAATAGGTAACTCACACTGGGGGAGGGTAGGAGACCCTTGCAGCCCTGTGGGGAGGGAGATCTGGAGGTTTTTTGTGTTGAATAGCCTTCCTGTATCCCTCCTCTCCAGGTGTTATTTAGAAAAAATACTTTTCAAACTACATGCTGAAAACTTCAGCATGAAAATTTAATGTCAGAAACTCTGTAATCTCTTTCCCAGAGATAAGACACAGCCCCTGGAGGAGGGCGAACTGTATCCTTCTAACTTAGAAAGCAGGTGCGGAGGCCAGGCTGGGTGTGGGGGAGAGGCTGATCCTGCAGGGCTGGAGGGCCAGTGGAAGACCAGCCTGCCACACGGGATGCTTGTCTGCCCTTCAGTGTGACTGGGCCCTCCTTCTTTGGGATGGACATGGCTACTACTGCCACTGCGGCAGAGACTCAGGTTTCCCAGTGACACCACGATCTCCTAACCTGCTTAGTTTAAGGAGAGCTCAGATTTCGAACAGCTAAGCCAGGAAGTCCAGCTCGGCCATCACCGCACACAACCCTTCCATTCAACTGCTGACTGCCTCCTGGTTAGCAGCGCCACCCTTGGTTGAAACTTGGGGACACTGTGCCCATACCATCCCCTCCCCCAATTTGGCCCAGGGTGCACAGGCATCGTCCTCTGAGACCTCAGTGTGGAAGCTGGAAACTATGAACTGCCTGCCCTGTCCCTGGCACCAACCACCAGGAAGGGAGAAAGAGGGCTTCACTCAATTGCAGCCTTAGTTTCACCACCCTTGAGGGAAACTAAACTTCCCCAGGTGGTTCCCATCAGTCCTCCACTGGAGAAGCCCTGGAGGCCTTAGGAGTGCACACCAAAACTGCACTTCTGGGCCCACGTTCCTACCTTCCAGGGGGCCTGGTGGTGGGAAAGGGCCTCAAGCAGATAACTGGCCTGGTTTGGGGGCAGAAGGCCCCTGTTCCAATATAGCCCGAGGCATGGGGAACTGTGCTCCTCTACTGCCCCCGTCAGGCATCTGGTGGTGCTGGGCCACCTCCTTGGAGACCCACCTGTTGATTCCACCCAGCACTCCTGAATGGCCAAGACCTTCGTGTCCCCAGAGATGTGCTCTCCTGTTTAATGGACGGGTATTGAGATCTCCCAGGAGTCAAGGTCACTTGTCCCATGCACTCATGGCCCTGAAGCCCCAGAACTCAAGTCAGGAAGAGCCCACACAGTTTTCCACAGACTCTAAGGTTCTAGGGCACCCTGACCCTGGCCTGGGAACCTGGTCACACTCACTGAAATCCCAACTTCCCTGTACCCTCTCACAACATCCTGGCTTGGGAAGAAGGGCAGGGCTACAGCCATGAGCCTCTCACAAACTTGGCCATGTCTCTCCTTGCTGTCTTACCCCTTCAAAAGGTTGATCAGGAGGCAGAGGACCACTGTTGCCCCTTGTTTATTTGCCCCACCCTGGCATTGCTGTGGGGATGACACAGGTCATACCTTAGAGGTGGCTAAGTGCACTGGGGGCACCATGCCAACTGTTAAGCTCCTAGCACCCTCTTAGGACTCTCTCGACAATACTGGCCCACCAAGAACATTCCATGAGCCCTGTGGGCAAACATGTGGCCTGGTGTGCCAGGCCATGCCCAGTGGGCGGATGCCTGCAGCTGGCCCCAGTGACCCCATGTAGCCACTTTGTCCCTCCTTGGGGCCTTGCTCCCTAAGCTCTCAGGTCTAGGCTTCTGGGTGAGGGACCCTCCTTGAATTTCCATTTTGCTCCTGCAAGTTCATGGGGGATCTTCCCTCCAGTGCCCACTGCCTGCACTGTCTCACTATACCCTGTGGTCCTCCCAGGCCTTGGTCTCTCTGTTGCCATGCAGCTTGGTCCCTCAGTGCTCGCGGGTGGACCCCAAGGTGGGGAGAAGAGTCTGTGAGATAAATGTGAGTGCCAGTGGAGGGGGTGGGCCTAGTGGAGACAGCCACCCAGTGCCCTCCACTGCATTATGGGTGAGACACCTCAGTCCCAGGAAGCTGGAGGTGGCAGAAATGATTTGAATGACAAATGTGGTTCCCTGAGGGGCCCCCAGGGAGCTTGAAGCTTTCCTGGCTTTGGGGTCTAGGGACCCAGACAGCAGTCCCTGGAAAAGCCCAAGGCTGGGATAGCCAGAAGCTGCCATCCTACAGGATCATCTTGATAAATGTAGGCAACTGCAGCCCATCTCCAAAGCCACTTCCCTGTCAGCAGTGCAGTCCGGGGCTCCAGCTTCCCGGCACTGGCTTCCCAGCATCAGCAAGCCACTCGATATTTTCAGATAAAGGACATTCCTGGTGTCCCTCGTCACTCCTTGGGCAGCTGTCGGCTCCCCTTTCCCCAGCACAAGTGGGCATGTCCTCCCAAAGCCCCAAAGGAGGCTCAGAACACATAGTTTTCCCATTATGTACCAGCCAAGGGGCCAAGGAGGATTTAGCTGGGGTGTGGCCTGGGGCTGGGCAGGAGGGTGTGTTCTGGGAGGCGAGGACAGCCGAGATAGGGACAGCTGGTCCTGACCCTAGTGGCCTCCTTCAGAGCCAGAGCCTGGGGTATATTTTTAGGAGGCACCTTGCAAAGCTGGGGCTATTTCGTCCTGGGGGCACAGGGCCAAGCTCAGGGTGGTCACGTACCAGGTCGTCCTAGGACCTGGCAGAGGCCTCAGCGGATCACTCAAATCTAGGCCTGCAACTCTGGGGCAAATGGTCCAGCTCTTGGGGGACTGAGCATGTCTGTCCCCAGCACACTCGGCCACATGTGCATCCTAGCACTAGCCCAGGCCTGTCCAGAGCCACAGTGTCCCCTTCCCCAGAGTCTAGGCCTTGACTGAGCTCCTGATGGCTGCCCTGTCCCTCAGTGTGAACAAACCACTCACTTGGGGCTGTGAGTCAAGCCATCTGTGAAGGAAAAGTTATGATCCTAGAGTCATGATCCCTGTGTTACCAGAGGCATCTGGAGGTTGAGGATGGGAGTACTCTCTAGGAAGGGGTCAAATAGCAGCAGGGTTCTTTAAGTGAAGAGAAAAACAATAGCAGTGCAAAGCCTGCATGATTAAGTGACTGCAGTGGAGCCAACATCAGCCCCTGCATTACGCATCCTTTCAAGAGACCAGCTGCAGTAGGCAATGGCTGTGCAGCAGGGGACAGGGTGCTGTCAAATGCTCTAGCACCTGCATCACTCCTAGAGAGGGTAGGGAAGTCGCTCCAGTCCGAGTCAGGATATGGGCTTGCCACAGGGCTTCCTCAAAAACATGGCTGTCCCAGGAACTGAGAATCATTCAAATTGGCACACCCTTTGGCTATGTTGGTATTTGGATGGTTTGGCCATACCACCCCATGGCTGGGGTCTGGGCTGGCAACCGAAGGAAATTCCTATCTCTGGCCAGGAACAGCAATGCTCCTAGGTCAGTGCATTCCTCTAGGACTGGGCTTTGGGTGCCCATGCCTTGCCACACTGTCACATATGGTCATGAAAGGGATAGACAGTGATAAGCTTCCTGCCTAGGCATGGAAGACCAGGCCTCACTCAATGTCACGGCCCTTGGGGGCCAAGAAGAAGAGTCAAGTATCAGGGGTTGGCGATGGGTGGTCACGTACCAGGTCGTCCTAGGACCTGGCAGAGGCCTCAGCGGATCACTCAAATCTAGGCCTGCAACTCTGGGGCAAATGGTCCAGCTCTTGGGGGACTGAGCATGTCTGTCCCCAGCACACTCGGCCACATGTGCATCCTAGCACTAGCCCAGGCCTGTCCAGAGCCACAGTGTCCCCTTCCCCAGAGTCTAGGCCTTGACTGAGCTCCTGATGGCTGCCCTGTCCCTCAGTGTGAACAAACCACTCACTTGGGGCTGTGAGTCAAGCCATCTGTGAAGGAAAAGTTATGATCCTAGAGTCATGATCCCTGTGTTACCAGAGGCATCTGGAGGTTGAGGATGGGAGTACTCTCTAGGAAGGGGTCAAATAGCAGCAGGGTTCTTTAAGTGAAGAGAAAAACAATAGCAGTGCAAAGCCTGCATGATTAAGTGACTGCAGTGGAGCCAACATCAGCCCCTGCATTACGCATCCTTTCAAGAGACCAGCTGCAGTAGGCAATGGCTGTGCAGCAGGGGACAGGGTGCTGTCAAATGCTCTAGCACCTGCATCACTCCTAGAGAGGGTAGGGAAGTCGCTCCAGTCCGAGTCAGGATATGGGCTTGCCACAGGGCTTCCTCAAAAACATGGCTGTCCCAGGAACTGAGAATCATTCAAATTGGCACACCCTTTGGCTATGTTGGTATTTGGATGGTTTGGCCATACCACCCCATGGCTGGGGTCTGGGCTGGCAACCGAAGGAAATTCCTATCTCTGGCCAGGAACAGCAATGCTCCTAGGTCAGTGCATTCCTCTAGGACTGGGCTTTGGGTGCCCATGCCTTGCCACACTGTCACATATGGTCATGAAAGGGATAGACAGTGATAAGCTTCCTGCCTAGGCATGGAAGACCAGGCCTCACTCAATGTCACGGCCCTTGGGGGCCAAGAAGAAGAGTCAAGTATCAGGGGTTGGCGATTCTGGGAGCAAATCCCCCTGTTAACACCCATAGGAAGGTCCTGGGGCCCCCCCCCCCCCGCCATCAGCCTTATGTGCCCCACAGCCGGCATTACCACCACATTTCAGGCAACCACCAAGGGCCTCACAGTTGCAGGTCCAGCATCTCAGAGTGAAAACAAAGACATTTGCCCTTTCAGCCAGGCTGTACCTACAACCATGCCCCACCCCCTTGAAAGTATCAACTAAACCTTGAGCCCCACAGCTCAAATGTGCACCCAAGGCAGCTGGAGTTTCCCTGTCTGGGTTGTGGCCAGTTGTTGTCTGCTGGCCTCTGAAGCTTGTGAGAAAGTGCCATCTCCCAGCCCACAGGCAGCCCCCATGTCTCCCCACATCCTTAGACAGGTGCCTTGAGCCCAAGATCCTGCTGTCCATCCTCTCAAGCACTGCAGGATGACCAATGAAAGCCAGGATGGTGGGACCCTGGGGCTGCCCGCTACCATGCCCAGGCCCCACAGGTATTTTGTGGCCCTGTGTGTGTCCACTAGAGTTTGGGATTTCTCTCCCCATTAAGGTGCGTGGGCAGCAGATCCCTTTATGTGCCATAGCCTGGGCTGCTCTGACCAGCCTTCCTAATGAGCATGTGTTTCCAGGGCCCTTTGAGCTGGGCTTTAATGGCCATCCCTGCCAAGCAGGCCCTCCTGGTGCCCACAGCCAAAGCAGGGGTTTATGATCCAAACCCTCTGACCAGATGTACTGAGGTAGGTTCTTGCTCTCTCAGGGATTATGAGGACATTCCTGGTGGTCCATGTGGGGCAGCCTGGGCACCCTTAGGCCTGACATTGGGTCCCCTGAGTAGCTTCCCTCCCCCTCACACCTTGTCACTTGGGGCAGGCTGGAGATGTCCAGAGAATCACAAATTGTGGCCTCAGCTCCTGGGGTTCCAGAGGCCGTGGCACAGAGTTACGGTTCCCTTATACAAACAGCCCACCATTCTGCCTGGGTACCTCCTTGGAACTTTGGAGCTGGGGCACACCTTACAAGCACCCTGGTCAGGCCAGTCCTTTGTCATCTGGACTTCAGGCTGGTTCAGTGGGCTGGGACTCCCAGGCAGTCACTCACTCTTGCAGTCCCTCTAACTGTAGAGGTCATCTAGGCCCCCTCTGGCCAAGACTGTCATTCGTGAATCAGTTCAGACACCATAGGCCTGGTGTTTGTGAACAGATGAGACTCCTGTGGAGGGGCTTTGGTCAGCTGTCCCTACTGGGAGTGGGGTAGAGCCATGGAGAGAGACAGGAGCTGCAGAGACCCAGTTCTTTGGGTTGATCTTTCCCCCAGGTACCTCTCAGTCACTCGTGTGCACGAGCACACAAGTGGGGGGGGGACTTCTGTGAGTCTTCCCTGTCCTTCCCCCTCTCTGGCAGCAAGCATGGGGTTTTATGAGTGCTACAAATCAGATATCACACAGTTTGAGGCTGACATGGTTTTTATAAGAATTATTCAAGGCCCTGGCCGCCAGCAGAGTCCCAGTGAGAACCAGGGCAAGGCGCATCCAGCTGTTTGGGCTGTAGGAATTCCAAACACTTCGTAAAGTGAAGGTAAAAAGGGGAGCATATTGTTCTATTTAGTGGGATGTGTCACCTCTGCCCTGGGTGAAAGGGCTGCTGGGAAGACCAGGCCGGTGGGAGGGGGGGCTATAGCTCTAAGTGCCTGTATGGGAGGCCAGGCTCTGGGCTTTTGTAGCAAAGGCAAGCAGGATTGAGTTTTGGGATTTGCTCCACTCTGAGTGTCCAATCCCATTCCAAAGCACACTTGAGGGGATGCTCTGCAGCTGGGGACATGGGGGCTGAGCCCCCCTGTGGTCTTTGTAGCTCATCCTGAATCTTCTCAAGTTTCTCCTGTCTGGCTGGTTCCATCATTGGGCAAACTCTTGCAAGCCTGAACCATGCCTGGTGCCCTGTGCTATCCTCAGTACTTGTGGGATTGACCAGACACTGTTCAACTGGCAAGAGTAGCCCTGTCAGAACCAGGTTGTAGGTTTGGGAGTCAGAAGAGGGATGGGGAGATAGACAGCCCAGGGTCACCAGACCATGCATACCCCAAGAGCTGCTCTCGCATGCAGGTGAGGTGGGGCGTGCAGTGGGAGAAGCACATCAGCCAATCAATCACTCACCCCACAGTCACTGTCTGTGTTCGGCTCTGGGGTTCCTGAGCACCTCTGTTACTTTTCATGGGCAGCATTTCCTGGTGATGTCAGGCTTGGGCTCCCCTTACACTCAAGTCAACCTTAACACACACAAAGGCTGAGCACTGACCCTCTGCTCATAAGGGACCTGGGGAAACACTGACCCAGCACTTTCCCCCTGCACCAGGGTGGGGAGGAGGTGCAACCCTGTAGCCAAAGCTAGCAGAGTTCACAGGGCACCTGGAGAGCAGGGCTGTGCTGCCCCCCTGCTTGAAGAGGGAGGTTTTCCATTGCCTGGACTCTAGTCAGAGAAAGGAGGGCCAAGTTCCGCCCACCAAGGGCTCCAAACCAGGCCTTGCCTTGGGGTTGTTATCTGGGAGCCCGGCAGGCTGAGTGAGGTGAGCTGAGTCCCTGATCCTTCAGGGTGCAAATGTCTTGGAGAGAAGGAACCTGGTGGAGCCAGCTCTGAGCTTCCTAGGGATGAGAAGAGAAGAGGTGATGTGGGTTCTGCCCTGCAGACCCTGGTCCTTGCAGAAATGTTAGCTGTAGATGTCAGGGACATCCACTGTTCTGGACAGGCACATGGAGACCTTTGCCTGACTCCGTAAATTGTGTGTAGAAGGTCTGGGGCAATTTCTTAAATCTTTTCTGGTATGTCTATCAGTGAGGAGAGTGGTAAGGTGACTCAATCAGACCTGAGGGCAGAAGTACCTCTAAAGGTCAATGCCCCTGCAGGGGTGCAACTAATGGAGGTCAGTCCAGCCTTGGGTGAGTCCCCTAAGACGCCAGCTCTGAGAAGCCAGAGTTAGGCCTGCCCTTCAAATTGGCCCAGCCCTGCTGAGTGTGTGTGTGGGGGAAGACTGGCCCCCCTATTGGTCATCACATCAGGGCTCCAGCAACCACGGAGGCCAGGACCAATGAAAGCCAGATGTGGCAGCAATAGAAAAAGCTGCTTATTTTGACTAGGGAAAAAAAACTACTTACAAAGAAATAATGAAGTGATTTGGGGAGATTGGGGAAGGGGATGATCTCAGATAGGGAAGGGGGGTTAGATGCAGATGCTAAGCAGGATGCTGGCCTGAGTATGGGAAGCCTACTCCTTTGCTGGCTGCCTCCAAGGCCTGGTGACCTGCATGGGCGTCCTGTGAATCAAGGCCTTGTTGGGGGCAGCTTCTACCCAGAACCAGGAGCAAGGCTCCTGAGGACACCTTTTCCTTTTCTCCTAGGGAGCCATAGTGAGCCTGAAATCAAGAGGAAGCCTGGAGGGTTGTAACCCAGCCTGCCCCCAGTCTGTGCCCAAGGATAAAGGGTAGCACATCTTGTGGAGAGCCTGACAGACTGGCAGAGGATAACACACTGAAAGACCATCATTCTTTGTTCTTTGGTTGCAAAGAGGGGGCCAGAGCCCATGTGTGTCATGAAAGAAACAGGCCCAAACCTGCTGTTGTGTGGGTAGGGGGCTACCCTGGGGTCCCAAGTTGGGACTACAGAAGAAATGGGAGTGCTGTAGATAGCATCTAGGGAAGCTGCATCAGCAGCCCTGGGCTGGGCACACTCATCTATCGGGGCCATGAGGAAATCATCCCCCATGAAGTAGGAAAACACACATCCACACAAAAGTGCCCAGTCACAAGGGTGAAAGGTCAGAAGTTACTCATGAATCCACTGATCAATGAATGGATGGATACAATAGGTCCATCACTATAGGGGAATATTACTCAGCCATAAACAGGAAGGCTCTCCTGAACACACCATCTCATGGATGCAGCTGGAGGACACTGTGGACAGTGAAATAGGCTAGGCATGGAAGAACAAATCTTGTAGGACTCTATTATGCAAGGTCCCCAGAACTGTCACATTCAGAGACTGAGATAGGTTGGGGATTTCAGGGGTGGGTGGGGAGGGGAGAGAGAGCCACAAATAAAGGGTACAGAATTGTTTAGGGTGCAATATATGTTCTCAGATCACTCATAGTGGCAGGTACACAACTCTAGCAACACACCAAGGCCATAGAATTATATCCCCTGAGTGGGTGGATTATATGGCATGTGAACTACATCTAAATAAAGCTGCTGATAAACAGATATGAACGTCCCAAGACCAGAACTCCTCTGTCCCCAAGGTTATGTGAGGAAGGGGACCATCATATCCCCAGACATCCTATGCAGGCAGAAACTACCACGGGTGGACAGTGATGACCCACTTGACTGGCCCAGACACCCGAGGTCGAGGCCGAGGCACAGCTAGATGACAGCGGTTTTCCTGTTGCCGATCCAACTTCCTGACTTCCGTGGTACCACGAGATTCTTTCTTTCTTACCCATGTACTCTGGTGGTACCACGAGATTCTTTCTTACTTACCCATGTACTCCGCTGATACAGTTAAGAACTGCAGGAAAGTCGAGGGTCGGTCACTCCTGAGCTCCCTTTCAGGGGCCTGATTTCTTTGGCTTCCCCTCTGCACTAAGAACTGGGGAAGGGCGGGAGGAAATGCTGTCCTTGGGCTTGGGAGGGAATGGCGGCCAGAAGTGTCCAGGAATCCCCAGCCCAGGCAGATGACCTCGATGTGATTTGGGTTCCAGATGGGCTGGGCTGGGTGGGCAGCACAAAAGAAGAGCCTCTCCCTGGGCAGCCCCTGTCTGGCTACCTACGGCCACTTGGAGGTGGGACCACACAGCCAGCGACAGGAAGCCACTGGCTAGAGTGGCTTCTGCTGTATCTGGCAGCTTGATTCTTACCTGGAGCTGCTGGGGATCTGGGAGGTGTCCCTGAGGGCCACCGAGGCAGGCCTGCTACAGCCATAACTCACAAACAAGCCAGGAATGGGGGCTGAGCCAAGCCAGCACAGCCTCGAGGCCCCCAGCCCCACAGCCCGGCTCTTCCTGTGTAGCATGGAGCTGCCTGACCCCACGTTGCCTCTTACAGAATGAACAGAGGCCACCGCAGCAACAAATCAACCACACGTCCAAGGGGGCTTCAGCTTGCTGGTTTGCTTTGCCCCCATGACCCTCTCTCCCTTCTCCCAGCAGACGCCTGCAAGGGGTGGGGGTGCTGGGGAGCTGCAGGAGGTGGGGCCCCCGCCCATCTGGGCCTTGTCTGGGGTCAGGCCCTCTCCAATCCCTACTGTATCTGTGGATGCCCAGGTAAGGGTGGCCATGGTGCTCATCAGCCGGGGGATGTCTCTGCAGGGACAGGTGGACTGCTGGGGTTTGACAGGGTCCTGCCAGGTGTGCAGGGAATGAGGCTGATGCCCTGGGTCCCCCGAAACCCCCAATCTGCAGCAGACGCTCCTTGTTCAGCAGACCCCACACATGGGAGAGGACCTGTGCTAGGGATTTGAGTTACTGCAGTGTTGTGAGGCTGCTGGGACCAAAGCCTGGACTGTCATAGCCTAGCTGTACCGTGGAGGGAAAACTGAGTCACAGGGAAGCAGGCCCTTGTAGCCCCTTGGATGGGGGAAGAGATGGATCTGTAAAGGCTATAGCTTTACCTCTGAGGCCTCAGAGAGGGAGCAGATTCCCTGCAAGGGCCCCCTGCCAGAATCCTGGAACAAACCCCAGCCAGCAAGCCCTGCCCCCAGCCCCGCCTCTCCCCTTTATCCGCCTGCCTGCGCTAGACCCAGAGGGTCTGAAGAAGCAGGAGCCCCCACTGGCCTTGCCCAGGGAGCTGCCTGAGCTTGGAGACCCCTCGGGTTACTAGGGCAAGCTGTTCCCTGCACGGCTTGGACAGATGCTGGGCCAGCCTGACGGCAATCAGGAATTATGTGTCTGCTAACCTGGTGACCCAGAAGTGGATTGTGTGCGACTCCCTCGCTCAGAGGACTGAACACTGTTCCTAAAGCTGCAGTCAGCCCCCCCCCACCCCCCTGCCCGTCATTTCCTCAAGAATGTACCCAGCTCATCCTCCACTATGGGTGTCTTGTTGGGGGCTGGGCTTTGCCCTCAGCTGGTACCTTTTTGGGGTCAGCAGCCTGGGCACAGGGGAGAACTGGGGGCCTTGCTGATCCTGATTCAATGCCCTCTCTCTTGCCCATGGTCATATCCTCCAATCTGGGCCCACACACAGCACCCTACCTGGCTGTCTCACTGCAGGAGACTTCACTCTAAGTTGCAGGATGCCCCCAAACCCACAAGTGGGGTCCTGCTTCCACATGGGCATGGGGCCAGGTCTCAGCCCACTGCCCAGCCGCCTCCTCCCCTGCCTAAAAATCCGGAGGCCCCCTAGGCATGAGGGAGATGCTGAGGGCTGGGGTGAGGCTGGAAGAAGAGCGGGGCATGAACGTCAGGCCATGATGAAGAGTGACCTTGGCCACGCTGCCTGGTGCCCTTGTGGGGGCTGTTCCAGCCCATGGTGTGGCAGCCATGAACGATGGATTCTTCCTCCCCTGCCTGAGTGAGGGTCCTCAGGATGCCAGGCCTCATGAATTATTTCTCTAAGGAAAATATAGTTGACTCCATTCCTCCTGCCCCACTTCCTGACCTTCCCAGTCCCCTAAATCAACACTGAAGGGTGCAGCCTGCCCGGGCCTTCACCCCCCACTCCCCACCCCACCCCCAACCCGTGGCTCTCAGGGTGGGGGCAGGGGCCCAGCGCCTTGTCTCTGTCTCCAGGCCAACCAGCAAGGGAAGAGCCGGGTCCTATTCAGAACGCAGTGGGACAGTGCTGCCGAAAGGGGTTCCAGAACCCAATGGGACAGGCTGGAGGCTGAGAGGTTGGGGGACCAGAGGTCACATGCCCGTATGGTATGTGAGCAGGTTCCCCCAGAATACTCCAGCTGCTTTTTCGCTGCTCCCCAAATCTCTAGGTCAACCTCCCTCCTTAGCATTCAACTCACATACCCAGACCCATTCAGACTCAGACATACACTCACACTCAGACACACCCACACACTCAGGCACACCCACACCTATACACACTCTCTCCAAGACACATCCAAACACACCAAGTACACCCAGGCCCACTCACTCCAACACACTCAGACCTATACACTCACACTCAGACACACTCAGATGCCCCCACACACCTAAACACACACACTCTCAGGCCCACACAAACACATTAAGGCACACCCACACACTAAGATACACCCAGACCTTCGTTTTTTTTTTTGTACTGGGGATCAAACTCGGGTCCTTGTGCTTGCAAGGTAGGCTGTGGAACCACTGAGCTAAATCCCCAGCCCCCAGACCTACTTATTCAAATGCAGACATGCAGACCCACTCAGACCCACACACTCAGACACACCCATTCACACAGCCAGCCAAGCACACTCACACTCAAGACACAGCCAGACACATCATGTAGGCCCACTCACACCAACACACTCAAACACACCCATACTCACACCCAGATACACCTAAGACCCACTCAAACACACACACCTACACTGAGACACACCTAGACATATCCAAATATGCACACGTACACTCACACTAAGGTACACTCCAACCCACCCAGATCTGCCCAGACACACACTGAAACACCCGACCTACTCAGACACAGCCAGGCATATTCATACATACAACCAGAACCTGCATAGACACACCTAACACACATATTCAGGCACGCACATACTCAGACATAGTGATCCAGACACACTTACAGATACCCAGGCTCTGACACATATAAACACACAAACGCACCCACTCAGATACCTAGACACATAGGCACCCACTCAGACATATACACTTAGGCACATACAGACAAATTCAGACACACGCCCAGACCCATGCAGGCAACCTAGACCCAGTTACACTGACACACCCAGAAACACACTCAGACATGCCTACGTTCCTAGACATATCCAGGCGTACCCAAATGCACACTTAGACACACCCCACTCACCCAGCCCAGATACATCCACATACTCAACACACCCAGATACACCTAAACAGAGACACACTCAGACACACTCACTCAGAGACCCAGGCACACTCAGATAGGCCCAGGCGCAGAGATACACATAGCATACCCACACACACACAGAGACACACTCAGAGCCACTTCGTTATACCCACAAACTGAGACACCCGGACCCACTCAGATACACCCATACTCAGACACACTTAAACACATCCAGATACACTCACACTCAGACAGACACACCCAGATATATACTCACACTCAGACATGCACATTCAGCCACAGACAAGTCCAGATCCACTCAGGCACTTAACACACATTTATACCCAGACACGCTCAGATACACCCACTAAAATACCCAGATGCACTTACACACTCAGGCACCCCCAGACACACTCAAGACTCACACGTTTTTATACACAAAGGCACACATATGTGCACACACACATGCAGTTGGACAGAAACAGACACCTATTCGTGACACATACAGACACACTGACACAAACAGGTACATACAGCCGTGTGTCACATGTTTCCGGGGAGCTCCCTCCCTGTGGTCCTAGCTGGTGTGCTCAGATCACAGGTGGCTTCCTCACTCTATATCGGGGCAGCCTGTGGGTTCACCTCAGAGCATCCCCACCCCCATCTCCGGGCCTGCCCTTGCCTGCTGCTGTTGCCCTCCTGCCTCCTGCTGCTCTCAGGTAATGGATATCCTCTCTATTCCACACCATGTCTTTTTGCACCTTTCTCTAGGAGCCAACCCACAGCCCAGCCTTCCCAGGCTTGGCTTATACCTGAAGGCATGAATCACCCTTCATGTTGGACAAATGGCAAACCATTAACACCTATGGGGCTTGCTTTGGTGTGCTAGCCCCAAATGATATGGAGGGCTGCTGCTGCTCCTTGGCAACTTGAGCAGACCTATTCTACCATCAAATACGTCATCTTTTTTTTCAAGACAATGTCTCACTGTGTAGTCCAGGCCAATCATGAACTATGTAGCACAGGCTAGGCTAAAACTCACAGTAATCTTCCTGCCTCAGCCTCCTGAGTGCTAAAATTATAGGTGTTTTTTTGTTTGTTTTTGTTTTGAGGTGTTTTTTTTGGGGGGGGGTTGGTACCAGGGATTTAACTCAGGACCTTGCACTGGCGAGGTAGGAGCAGTGCCACCGAACTAAAGCCCTGGCTCAAATATATTATCTTATAGCCATGTAACCATGCCCTTGAGATGGCCCTTGCTCACGGAGGCAGGGCTGGGCCCTTATCCTCATGCCCAGCAGAAATGGACAAGATGCCCACAGAGAAGCAGAAAGCCCACTCCTAGGCTCCTGAGCTGGGAACGTGCCAAGTTGGTGTGGCCAGGCTTGGCAAGGTCACACGTGTGCTGCCCTGTGCCGTTTCCCCTTCCCGACTGGGGATAGCCAGGTAGCTTCTCCCTCTGAATCTGAGACAATCTGAGAGCCTGAGGTCAAAGCTGCAGACAAGGCACAGCAGCAGGGAGTGGGGCCATGTGTGCAGGGGCTGTCCACCCATCCTAAAGTTCCTGCTCTACCATGGCCAAGGCAGGGACTACAAGGGTTCACTGGATACACAGACCACTCCTCTCCCCAAAGTATACCCTGGTCCCTGGTCTAATCTCAAACTAAAGTACACAGATGGGAAGGGGTTCTCTCTGAGCTTCCTGAGCCAAGGGGCCTCCGGGATCTATGCTGAGGATGCTATGACTTTACTATGGAGAGACCTGGACCCCAGCCCTTCTAGAAGCAAAGCTCCTAGGCTGTCAGGCCAGGGCCTGGGAGCGGCTAGCAGCTCTGGGCTCTGTGAGGTGTGATGAATCAACACTCAAGTGCATGACCAGATCAGGGTCTCAGGTGCTGCCCAGCAGAAATGAGGTGACAAGCTAGACTTTAGAGAGTAAGCCCAGGAAAGGGTCAGGAACCCTGTACTCTCTACCTGCTCCCAGAGGATGGGGGCAGGGGTGGTGGCAGGACGGAGGAAGGTGCCCACAATAAGCAGCAGGGCTTTAGTGCAGACAGCCCTACGAGACCCCCTTGAATCCTGTCCTGCCGACATGACTGGCACAAAGCAAGAGGCACTAGGATCCACTGGGCATCCCCACATGGACTCTCACACCCACTCTCCTCTTCCCACCCGTGCGTGCCCAGAGACCTGTGAAACTCATTAAACTGCAGCTCGGGGTGCTGGCTGCCCATCCCCACTCCCGTCAGGGAGCTGGCAGACCTGTTGTCCTGTCTCCTTGCCTAACTGCCACAAAGCTTCTCTCTGGATAGGCCACTGACTCTCCTCCTTCTGTTCCTCTCTCTGCCGAACACCCCCTCAGGTACTTCCTGCCAATCGTGCCAAATTAGACTCCACTGGCCTGACCAGGGTACCCTCCCTGGTCTTCAAGGGCTGCTGACCTAGGGCTCTTCCCTGTGTCTTTATGCTCACTTTTACCCTGCCTCCCCTCCCAACACCCTGAGCTCAAGCTCTATGTGGGCACACTCATGTAGAAAAGAGCCCTGGGCTGCATGAGGTTGTCCTCACCTCTGCCTATCTCCCCAGTGTGTGTACTGATGTCATTTTCAAGTCACAAGGCCTCATGCCCACTGTGACCACACGCAGCAACCCAGCTAGCTGCACCTCATCCCTGCAGGGCCCGGATGCATGCTTTGGGCCCATGTGGCTGAGACTCAGGGACCCCCAGAACAGAAGGGTATAAGACACCCATTCCTTCTCCCAGGACAGGAGTTTTATTTGGATCATCAGAACTGCTCTACCCACTGAGGCCTGTGTCCATCTGTCCCTGCCTGTGGCTGTCACAGGCCGAACCAGTCCGAGACACCGCCACGTCGGGGGTCGCGGCTCTGCCTCTGCTTCACATCTTCCAGGAACTCGCTCTGTTCCTTATCGCTTGGGCTGGGCTCCGTCTCGGGAAACAGGTCTGGGAAGGTGAAGGTCTGACCATGGGCCTGGGGAGGAAACAACTCAGATCAGTGCTCTAGTCTTCAGGCCCTATTCAATTGCTCAGGGACCATGACCCTCGACCCTCACGGTGGGAGGGATGAGCTGCCATTGTCTACAGTGCAGGGTCCCTGCCGGGAAAATAAACATCTCTGTGCTGTGGGGCCTCTCACTCTTATCTAGCAGCGGGAAGCCATTACCCTGAGACAATGCTTCTTTTCATGGACATTATCTCTTTCCAGTGGTGTCTCACCAGCCCCCAGCTCATTAAAAGTAGCCCAGCAAAGGCCCATTCACCAGGGCGGCAGCCTGGTTGAACTGGGGGGCAGGAACTAGGCACAGAAAAACAGGACATAAGTGACGTCTGGTGCCACGCTAAAGCTTTTTCCATCCAAAATACCTAAAGGCCTTCACCCACATTAAAGGCCAGCCTTCCTCCAGGCTCAGAGCTTGGCAAATAAAACACATGTAACGCACACAGAAACCTACATATGCAGCAGTCTATAAATCAAGTCCGGCTTTGCAAATTAACTGGTTTTACGTCTTTCACTAGAAGTTCGGAATGTTTCAGCATGGCCAAGTCCCAGCCCAGGCCCCCAAGCATGTGGGTCAGGCACCAGTGCAAGCCCTTGGTGAGGAGGGGGAGCATACTGTGGGGCCTAAGCAGATACGAGGGGCTGTACCGCCTTGCTGACTACACTAAGCAGCTCCAAGATAAGGGGTAACAGACAGGAAAGCCGGAAGGGAGGCTAGCACCTGGCCATCCAGCTACCAGTTAAAGGAGTGTTAAAGACTGCACTGAATCTGCGGCGCTTTAATGAGCAAAGTCAGTGGGGTCCATTTGGGCTCTAGCAGACCCTTGCTTCTTCCTAAGGAAATCTGGACTTAGGCAGGGAGCCAAGGTTGATTTGAAACAGGACATAAGTCCCAGATCCCACCCTGAGAATGCAGAGTTTGTTAAGTTCTGGTCACAAAGAGCAGGGTGCAGGGGCCAGATAAAAGGCCAACAGCCAGCCTGCAGAGATTATCTTACATATCTCAAGACTCCTTTTTTCCTTTTGAAAAGTACTGACAGACAGACAATAGTTTACAAGCAGGGCTGCCTGGCTACAAGGGGGATTTGTGTTTGATATCTTGAGGTGATTCTGCTGGTTTTTGAAGCAGGGGAAACCCAAAGTGACATTTAAAAACACAGACACAAAGGTGACCATGTATAGCAGCAGCTTGTGAAAAAACAGGCAGCTATTAGGGAAATGCCCCGCTTCCCCAGGAGACCAGAGATATCTGTGGGTGCCGGATGTCTCCCTGGGGGATTTCCTTATTTAGAGAAATCTGCACTTTAAAGAACAAAATCCTTTCACCTTCCAAAGAGGAAAAGGAGTTATCAGTGGCAGAGAGCAGGAGAGAAAAAGGTCACAAGAAGAACTGAAAAAGCCAGCCCCCTCCAGTAATTCTGGAGCTCTTGGCCATTGTTGGGGCCTGGACTTGCCTGCCCCTTGCTGCCCAGCATTTGTTCTGGAGCAGTGAGCTCATGGCCTGTGTGCACCACTTACTCAAACACAGCTCTGTGCACAGACGGTCAATGCTTTTTTTGTTCTGTGGGTAACTGAGGACTTGCTCCCACTCCCTCTCGGACCTGGGGCCAGAGATGTTTATCAGGTTGTCAGAGGAAAAACTTGGGACCCCCACCAGTGGGCTGTGCCTTTCCACTGCCGCCAACTCACAATAAATCCCATCATTTAATTTGTGTCTCTGGCTGACCCTGCGTGTGCCACACAATGGGTTGTTATTAGAAGCACCCACCCCCACCCCATGGGGCCAAAAGGAGGGTCCTGGCAGCAGATGCAGACAGAAGGGGCCTCTGAGGGTCCTTGGGTCCTCTGGGGGGATGGAGACCCACTACCCAGTTTCTAGGCTGTGCAAAGACTGGTGGCTGGCGTTACAAATTTTAATTCAGAGACAGGAGGAGCCATGCTGACTGGGACATGCTGGCCACAGCTGCCCTGCCTGTCTCCGGCAGCGTGGATTTCAGAGAAAGACGGCAGGCGGCAGCTGCAGACATGGATCTAAGCACTGCCGAGAGTTCAGCTTTCAGAGTGAGGTGGGGCTGGGGGAGAAACGGGGCTCGGATGACTCAAAAGCCACTTGTAACCATAGCTGTCTCCAAGTGACTCGTGGCGAATGCCAGCATATGGGACATCGCCCCGCAGCCATGACAGAGACAGATGGGCCGATTCAACACCCAGCACACACAGGCCTTTATAAGGCTGGGGCTGCTCTCTCCACCTGGACTGCCTGGTTTTATACACAGCAAATATTAGGCTAAGTGATTACGGGACCCTGTTTTGAACAAATGTGACTGTTCTTCAGGAAAGCCTGCCTTACTCTTTGAGGGAAACTGCCTTCCAACTCAGGGCTGGGTCCTGCTAAGTCCCAGGGGAAGCAGGGTTTCTAATAGCATTACCGCCATCTAGTGGTCAGGGTCCCCCCCCCCCCCCCCCCCCCGCCGGCGCTACA